GTCCCACACAGCGTGTTTGTTGGGGGGGTCCCACTATACACAAGCACCCACACACACCCCCAAACACCACCAAATATGTTTGATTAATAATAATTTGTTGTTTTTTTCTAGTTCCAAGATGGCAAACCCCCTTGCCAAAGGCGTAATTCTGGAGGCAAGGGTAGGAACTTCTGATGGCAAAGGTCAGGGTTTACGGGTGGGACTTCTGGTTCCAAGATAGTGACCAGGGAATGGGACACCTATCAAAAGGTGGGGCTACCCTTGTGACCCTCGACAGCTCACCAAAACTCATTAAGCAACCCTCCAGCTAAAATAATTGGCCACCCCTGCCTCAGGTACTTCTCTCCACCTGGTACTTGTAGATGCTTATTATGGAAGCAAATCAATTCAGTCCTAGAAATGGATTAAAACTGGAGATAAGTCCAGATAATTTTTTTTTATATTATTTGTAGGTAGGGATTATATTTTTAAGATTATCATCATTCTATACAGGCTTCTCACAATAGAGTTGGTTAAAAGATGCCAATTTTTACAATATTTTATGTTTTTTTTCTGGTTATTTTCATTTAATTGAAATTTCCAATGAAAAATACGTTGGCTTTTTGATGAAAAATAGGGTGAATTTAAAAATGTGTGTGTGTCAGAGAGAGAATGATTACCAATTTTGTTTTGAACTGAAAAAAGGGTTTTTTAAAGAAAACAATTCATTTTGATCCAAGGAAAAAAAAATGTTGCTGTGCTGCAAATTTAAATCTTCCAAGACTATTTAGATGTACAATTACTTTTTGATTAAAACATATTTGTCAGTAGAAATCTTGCTTGAACTGGATAATTATTCACTGAATTGATCCTGGTAGCCCTCCTGGTATTGATTAGGAAACTGATCAACAGAGAGTTTACTGCTCTGATTTGCAAAGGACTTTTTGCAAAGTACAAGTATGCAATATAAGAATGCAACTTAAGAAATTTGGACAGGATTCCCTCGCTTTATGCTAAACACACGTTCCTGGAAAACAGCGCATAACTTGAATTTGAGTAAAGGGAACCCACTTTACAATGTAACAAATAGGGATACATTCCCAAACCCATTTCTACCACTTTTACAAGACAATTTTGGTACTTACCAACAGTCTACAGTACAAACAAGCACAGGGTGGTGGTGAATGTTACCATAATGGGGATCGCAACTACAGAAACATGTGTTGCAGACTACGAGTATGGACCACAGATCCACACAGGAGACTATATTTCTGTGCACAACACTCCCACAATGCACTGCACAAAACAGCTGACTGCGGGCTTCCGCCATACCTATCACATAAGAGTGAATTTACCTTGCATATAATGATTTTTTGGTATAAAAAGGGAAATCTCATAAGATCAAATGCACACACACAGAACCTGCATGCAGTGAGGGAAACCCGTAGTAGATTTGGGAACAGATTATTTCCATGATGGGTGCCAATATACAAAAATAGATTGAGTGTCCCTGCTCCACGGAGGTATCCTCTTTGTAATTTGTTTGCACAGTGCTTAATACTAATCCCTAGCTCTTTTATGGGAGGTATTTTCTCCATGAATCTCAAAGTATTTTACAAAGAAGGAAAACATTGATTCTTCCTGTTCTATACATGGGGAAGCTGGGGATAAGGCCGGTGAACAGTTTCCCAGGCTCAAGCAGCAGATCCCATGACAAATTCAGGACTAGGAATCAGTTCTCCCAAGTCCTGGTAAATTGCTCCAGATCACTATACCACACTTCCCATTGGCTGGGGACAAATTACACTTAAACTGGTATTAAGTGACAGGAAACTGGTTCAATTCTGTAACAAAACAGAAGTTCAGTGCACATAAACTGCTTTAAAAAATGGCCCAAACCAGTTTAAGATAAACCTAGATGGATGTAATATCAGAGTTAACTGATTTAGGTTAAATCAGTTTATTGAACCTCTATCCCAGATGCTTTCCAGATGCAAGTTAACTCAAAAGAGTCCCCCAGCATCCCAGAATGCTTTGCATATACCTCACAAACAACCCCTTGCAGGGTGGTTGAGCTAGTCTTGGCTCAAGCTATCTGCTCCAGCTGAGCAGGGAGACGTGCTCTAGTGCCCCCCCTGGCTAATGTCCTGGACCACTGCAGGCATGTGGCTGCATTTACAGAATGAGAAGTGAATGCCTGTTCACTTATTTATTGGTTCAATCTATGTAATTTATACTAATCTATAAAGACTGAATCAATTCAGCCTCAGGCTTTTGACAATCTATACTTAGTCATTGTGCTTAGGAATCCAACCCACTAACAGTAGCTCTTTGTGGTATCACCATGAGGACTGATTCCCCTTCCTAGTGCTAGGGACTGACATTCAAAAAGCCTGATCCTGAATTGATTCAATCTTTGCAATCAATTTGTAACCATACAGACATCTCCTCTAAACTGAAAAAATGTGGACAAATGCCCACAGTGGCTCAGGCTAGAATCTGGGGGCACTAGAGCAGCCCTCCTTCCATTCCATAGTGCTGAGCTGAGGGGAGGCATGGCCAGGCCCCAGCAGGATGCTCTAATTAGGGAGCCCCCCCACCACTTTGCTGGTCAGCAAGGGAGCCATCAGGGATTTAGTTACACAGCAGGGAGCATTTATCACCTCATCAGCACAATAAAAGGATCTGTCATTAGTTCAAGATCTTCTTTAAAAACTTGTTCCAAAGAAGGAATGGAGGGAACAATACCAGATACCTGTTGATTAGTTCTAAAAGGCCTTAAGCGGCACTGTCCTGTCTGCCTTGTCTATCACAGCGTGAACTGCGGTATGCTAGCTAATGTGAGGTGTCTGTGTAATGCAGAAGGGAGGGGGGGAAATCCCTGCTTCAGCCAGGGAGTGGTGGTGGGCGGGGCAGGCAAGAGGAAGCCAGGCAGATGCCCTGTACTTGCAGTCTCTGCCAGAGTTGCAGTCAAGGAACAGAGAGAAAGGGCCAGCCCTGCTGGGTTGGAGCAGAGATCAGAGTCTCACCCAGGGTTGCAAAGCAACTGGGATACTAGAGAATTCTGATTTAACTTAAACTAGGAAGGGGTCTAGGACAGACATTGCATAAACAAGTTTGACCCAGATCAGTTAAGTCTGATCCTACATTCAACTAGGTTTATCTCAAACTGGTTTCAGCTCTTTTCAAACCAGTTTATCTGCACTGAACTTCTGTTCTGTTACAGGTTTCAACCAGTTTCTGATCACTTAAACTGGTTTATGTGTAATGTGTCTCCCTAGCCTAGTTGTTTAAGCACAAGCCAATCTTTTTTGCCTGCTAGGTAGAAAGTTAATCAGATTTGTGAGGACTGCTAAATTTCAGATTGCAAAATTTCAATGTACAGTATGTGGCTGTAATTTTGGGGACTACTAGGGTTAATCTGTAGACGTGATGATCAAAAACCACATGAATTAGTCATAATCTTATCAAAAATATTTTATTTATGAAAGTAAAAATTATACTATACAACCTATACTGAAAGTACATTGAATGAATTGCTAGAATAAATACAGGCAATTAATTCAATCTTTTATAGAATGAAAAGATTTATTTGACATTTGAATGTTACCCAAGCTTTAACTTACAACATAAATAGTAAAAGGCAAAGTCAAGTTTTCTTTTTAATGTTTCTCTTGCTTATTTGTAATACTGTTCTATTTTGTAACCAATGAGTATCAACTCTCCAATCATTACCATAGTATTAGTATGACTTTCAAGCAACCTTGTACCTCAAGATAATCAGACAAGTAAGGTAGGTGTGTGCAGTTCATTCTACAGCAGAAAAATATTCTAAGGAAGCTGAAAATGCTTCTAGGTTGTTAAAATATCACATGCTGATTTCTGCTTTACCACAGTGCTTTTTATACCAGAATCCAAAAGGGCATATATTTGTATGGAGCTGATGTGCTATCATTTTCTTTTATAAAAGTGTATTAAGGCTGAATGCCACATTCCTTTGGCTGGTTAAGGACGGCAAAATTTGGTCCTGAACATCACTTTGCAAAACCAGGGTCTAAAATTGAATGTTTAGGCAGCAGATACCAAGGAAGTGGTAGATTCCCATTACTTGACACAATTCAAGACTGGATACTTTTCTGGAAGATAGATACTCTAGTCAAACCCGCATTATGGGTTTCAGTATAGAGGTAAGGGGTGACATTTTATGGTATTTGTTATACAGGAGGTCAGATTACAGGAACATCACTTGGAAGCTCTATTTTAGGCACCCAGATTTTGAAAATGTTGACCCTTTCTTTATGTCAATGAAATTTTGTTTTGCTTCTCTGCCACATGTATGCTATCTTCCTGATTCTAAGAGTTGCAGGGCATTGACGACATTCATTAAAGTCAATAGGAGTTTTGACTACTCTGCATTCCCAGGATCAGAAGCTTTTGGTCCAAATCCTGTCCCCATCAAAAATGCATGCCATTGACTTCAATGGCATGAGGACCAGGCTTATTGTATACTGAATGCCAGGACTGTACTGTTACAATGTTCTCCAAAAAAAAATTGCACTTATCTACCCCTTTGGCCTTTTTGTGCACACAAATATGTTTGTATTAGAAAACTGTCTATGATGTTGGTCTTTTCTAATAAAATTAAGTCAAAAGTTCAAAAAGCACATTTTAAATATTTTTCACAGAAGTAACCATTCATTGTAAAAAAGGTAGAGAGACATTTTATTCTTTCTCATGTGAATAATATCAGATCAACATAAATTTTCACATTGTGGGCAGTTCTTAGGAAAAGAAGTACGAATTCTTCCAAAACCTACATAAAGAAGATAGAAAACAAAATGCTGGGGAGGCATTGATTTTGGCAGACACAGAAAATATAAAATATGCAATTAAAAAAAAAAGTTGGCTTAAAAAATACACACACAATAATATAAAAATACAGCTCATTCAATAGCCTCTTAAAATTTACCTTTGGCATTACATTTGGCAGCCTAACACAAAAGACCCTTCCTATAAAATAAAACTATTACAAAAAGTAGTTCATAAATTAGGTTGCAAGGGGTTATAAGATCCTTTGCTTAAGTCACCAAACTCCTTTCCTTTCTGTCCCACATAAGCATGACCAGTGAGGTATATATAGAACATAACACTGTCAGGCATATGCACAATAGAAAAAGTGCATAAACAAAGAAGTCATCTCATTTTCTTGCAAACAGGTTGAATCTGTGGTTTTGTTTTTCTTTAAAAAAAATTACTTTTTTTTTGCTTTGGCAGGATGAAAATGAACCATAGGAACATAAATGTTCCAGTCCCAGCAGCAGTGATCCATTTCCCTTGGCAACATTAATTCGATGCCACAAATACTATACGGTCATTTGGGTTACTTAAAAAATTTCTGAGTGACGTTCCACAGCAACATCATACATCAAGCACCATGTCATAGTGTTGTTCTTTCTTCCGCCTGCCGCATTTGTTGATCAGAACCAAATACAAAGTCAAAAGAAAAACCCAGTAACATGCATAGGCTATTGTGCCAATGATGAGGACTCTCTGTGTTGACTCAGAAAATGGCTTTTTTGATTCCTTGTATATAGTGAAAATCACGCCACCTAGGAGGATTGTAAACCAAACAGACACCGGAATGAGTCCTATGAAGTTGACTACAATGGTTTTTCTTCCTGATGTGCCCCACCCTGCTTTATTTATTGTGGCTATTGCAAACATCTTTGCTGGAAGTAAACTTGACATGTACAACACTGAGTAGAGTGACATGAACACCATGACAATGTTCCCCCTTAGGCAGCTGGCAAAAGAAGACTTTACTAGGCCCACAAACTGAACTATTAACAAGAAAAGGAGAATGTTCCAGATTTTCCCCCGGTAGAAAAGCTGAATGACTGTGGCAATGAGGAAGAAAGGAAAGAATCCAGTGATTACAGCCTCGTAAGTCATCCACAAATGATGCTTGTGGAACCACATTGCATTATACAGCCACTCTCTGAAGTATGATTTACTCCAACGGGTCTGCTGATTCAACCACCTTAGATATTCTATAGGTGTTTCAGTAAGGCACTTGGATCTAGCTGTGTACTTTGTTGCATAGCCCAGACTCAGCACCCGGTTAGTTAGATGTCTATCATCTCCAAAGCTGCACTGGGAGCCCATAAATTCTTGATTGTACCAATCTTCCACAAATTCGTGGAGCAAGGAGTTCCTGTACATTCCCAAAGGTCCACTGATGCATTGTACACAGCCAAAATAGGACTGGCAGGCTCTTTCTATATTAAATGCCATCCAATATCTCACGCTGCTGAGGAAGCTGATCCAGGAATCATATTTGTTCAAAATCTGCAAGTATATAAAAAATTTAAAATAAGCTCCGTTGGATTAAAATATATATACTATATATATATA